ATAATCTTTCATACCAAGCTCTAGGAGCTTATTTTAAATCATAAAGTGCTTTTGTCAATTTAAGAACATGATTCAGAAATTTTGAATCTTCAAAACCTGGAGGTTGTTCCACATACACTTATTCTTTTATAAAATCATTTAAAATGCACTTTTAACATCCATTTGATATAATTTAAATTCATGAAAACATGCAAATGCTAATAACATTCTAATTGCTTCCATCCTAGCTACGGGAGCGTATGTTTCATCATAGTTTATGCCCTCTTCTTGAGTATATCCTTGAGCAACAAGTCTAGCCTTGTTTCTCACTATATTACCACTCTCATCAAGCTTATTCCTAAATACTCATCTAGTACCTACAGTAGATTTATTACTAGGCCTTTCAACTAATGTCCATACTTTACTTCTCTCAAATTGATTTAACTCTTTTTGCATAGCCATAATCCAATGTTCATCATTTAATGCTTCTTTAATATTCTTAGGCTCATGAGATAAATGCAATATAATTACAAATATTTCTAAGAGAAGATCGAGTAGTTACCCCTTTGGATGGATCACCTATAATCTCACCATCCTTGACATAGTTGTACTCTCTTGGATAAGATACTTCCTTTTCTTCAATGGTTGGATTCTTGAGAGGATCATGAGTTTCCTCATCTTTCGTTTCTTCATTTGATGATGATTCTCCAACGTCATGTCTAACGTCATTTGTATTTATAATACCTACATCATCATTAACACAAGAATCCTTCCTCGGAATGAGATTATCATCGAAAACAACATGTATAGACTCTTCTACAACTAAAGTTATTTTATTAAATACTCGATAAGCTTTAGAATTTAAGGAATAACCCAGAAAAATTCCTTCATCACTTTTAGCATCAAATTCGCCAAGGTTTTCTTTACCGTTGTTTAAAACAAAACATTTACATCCAAAAGGATGAAAATAGCTAATGTTAGGCTTTTTATTTTTGAAAATTTCATATAGAGTTTTCTTTAAAATTGGCTTAATCATTACTCAATTTACAACATAACAAGCGGTATTTGTGGCTTCCGCCCAAAAATATTTTGGCAAATTATTTTCATAAAGCATGGTTCTAGCCATTTCTTCTAAAGTTCGATTTTTCCTCCCAACAACTCCATTTTGTTTAGGGGTTCTAGGTGCTGAAAAATTATGGCTAATACCATTAGAATTACAAAACTCATTAAATCCAAGATTTTCAAATTCAGTGCCATGATCACTTCTAAGACTAGTGATAGAGTAATCTTTTTCGTTTTGGATTACTTTTGAAAATATGATGAAATTTTCTAATGCTTCATCTTTAGTACTTAAGAATAGAACCCAAGTATATCTAGAATAGTCATCTACCAAGACAAATGCATATTGTTTTCCACCCAAGCTAGTAGTCCTAGTTGGCCCAAAAAGATCTATATGGATCAATTGTAATACTATACTAGTTGACACATCATTAATGGATTTAAAAGAAACTCGCTTTTGTTTTCCTTTAGAACAAGCATCACATATTTTATCATTATCAAATTTTAGTTTAGGCAGCCCTCAAACCAATTCTCCTTAAACTAACCGTTGCAAAACACTCATGCTAGCATGTCCTAGTCTCCTATGCCATAACCAACTATCATGCTCATCCTTAGTAACTAGGCACAAATTAGTTATATTAATAGAATCTAAATGCACCATGTATATGTTTCCTATTCTATGACCAACAAGCATAACCCGATTAGATGCAATGTCAATGACTTTACAACCATTAATTTCAAACATGACATTGAATCCCTTATCGCATAATTGACTAATACTCAATAGATTATTCTTTAATCCATTCACATATAACACATTTTTAATTTGTATAGAAGAGGTATTACCTATAGTACCAATACCTTCAATGTGACCCTTTGAATTATCACCAAAAGTCACTTCTCCTCCATTTTTGGCGTTAAGCTCTATGAACCGGCTTTGTCTCCGGTCATGTGTCTCGAGCATCCACTATCAAGGTACCATGAATTTGGATTTGTTTCCCGTGCCTTGTAGTAATGCTTCTTTTCCTACAAACATAGATTAATTTCTAATTTTTGGTACCCAAATTCTTTTGGGTCCATATTCATTAGTTTCTAAAATCCTTGTCCCCTTTGGTATCCATTTATGAAGGACATCCTTATCTTTAGTAGTAATGAATTCTTTAGGAACCCATATACTCCTAATAATTTTATCATTCAAGGTTCGTTGAGGACTTCTATGATTGTAGCTTCTAAAACTTTTCTTAACAAAGTTGGATTTTGAATTCTCACCTTTTTTAAAACTTTTTGTTCTAACCTTATTAAAAGAAGTTTTAAGATCATCAATCTTCTTTTGATGATCATCATGAACTTTTGAAAGTAACTTATGCAAATCATTATTTTTCTTTTCAAAATCATTAATTTTGATTTGCAATTATTTGATCTTACTTTCAAGCTCATTGTTGGTCTTAGATATAAGACTATTTTCATTTTTCAATTTTGAAATATCATTTTTGTATTTTGAAAATAGAGTCTTATAATCCGAAGCCAACCCATTATAATCCTCTAATAACTTATCATAAGATAATTCATCCAAATCGAATTAGTTAGAGGTTACCTTAGAATCTTCTCCGATAGCCATCAAGCACAAGTTTGCAACTTCTTGTTCCTCTTCATCAGAACCTTCTTCATCGCTCCATGTAGCTACATGAGCCTTGTGCTTCTTTTTGGATTGACCCTTTTTCTTCAATTGTGGGCAATCATATTTGACATGCCCCGGCTTTTTGCATTCATAGCAAATGATCGGGTCTTTCTCATTCGATTTAGTTTTGAAGCCTTCATGACATTTGAATTTTCTTCCTCGGTTGGGCATCATCAACTTTCTTAATCGTTTGGCAAATAATTTCATTTTCTCATCATCATCATCGTTATTCGAATCACTCTCATCTTTTGTGGATTTGAGAGCAACTCCAATGTTTTTCTTCTTCTCCTTCTCCTTTGGTGTCTCGTCAATCTTATCGAGGTCCACTTCATCTTCAAGCATCATTTCATGAGTGAGAAGGGAACCGATTAGTTCTTCAAGAGTTAAGGACGTTAGATCCTTAGACTCGATGATTGCCATCTTCTTCGATTGCCACGATTTTAGAAGGGAGTAGACTAACTTCTTTACAAGCTTTTCATTTGAAATGATCTCTCCATATGATTTGAGACCATTGACAATCCTTGAAAATCTATCCGTCATAGCTTTGATATCTTCATTTGGTTTCATCCTGAAATTTTCATAGCTATGTGTTAGAATACTAATTTTAGATTTCTTTACCTCATCGGTACCTTCATGAGTGACTTGAAGTTTGTCCCATATTTCTTTGGTAGTTGTACAAGATGAAACTCTTCCGTATTCATCTGGTCCAAGAGCACAAAATATGATATGGATGGCTTTGGAGTTGAGCTAGAATATTCTTGTCTCTCCTTCACTCCACAATCTTGGATGAGTGAGAGGCTTAATGTATCCTTCTTCTACGGCATTCCATGCTCCCATGTCACTTGCTTGAATGAAGTACATCATCATATTTTTCCAATATGCATAGTTAGCCCCATTGAAGAAAGGAGGCTTGTTGACGGGCATCGAATCGAGACCGGAGTCGAAGTTTGAAGTAGCGGCCATTGATGACTTTGATTATCGATGTAACTCTTCCCGAATCGACTCAAGAGGATATTAAACCTTTAAATGAGTTAGGCTCTGATGCCAATTGTTGAGTTAATCGATAGACGAATATGGCCAAGAGGGGGGTGAATTGGCAATTAAAATTTTGGTGGAAGCTTTTGCAGAAAATTGAAAGTAATTGCACATCGATTTAGAGTGGTTCGACTTTCTCAACCAAAGTCTACGTCCACTACCTTAGCTATCCACGCTAAGGATTTTCCACAAATTCACTAATTTGTATTTCTTTTGAGGACAAAGAGTAACCTTACAAACCCTCAAGAATTATACCCCAAATTCTTGAGAACACTCTCTCCCAAAGAGAACAATACAAATTTGCAAACTTACAAGGAAATCCTCACAAGGTAGGTTGTTTGCACAATTCTAAAACAAAGAAAAGAACACTCAAGAATAATACAATTGAGCACAATAAGTGTTCTTGAAAGTAAAATGAATATTGAATGAAAAATAGGTTTGAAATGCTCAAACTTGAGGTTTGATGCTTTCTCTTTGATTCTCTCTTGATTCTAGTTGCTTGTTGTTTCTTGTTTTTTATCAATGGCTTCTAAGCTTGCTTAAATACACAACGTTGGGGATCATTAATGAAGTTATTGGAGCCGTTTAAGTGTGAAAACAATTAATATTTCTGCTTGGAGCGTGGGGGGAATCGGTACCCCCTCATGGGGAATTGGTTCCCTAAGTGTAAAATTCAAATATTCGACCGTTGAACAGTGGAGGGAATCGATACCCCCTGGGGGGAATCGGTTCCCTCCGAGCATACTGGAATTTCTCGGAGCCAAATCATTCAGGGGGAATCGGTACCCCCTTGGGAGGGAATCGGTTCCCTCTGGACAAACTGTAATTTTTGGCTTTGAAACGGTTCAAAATGCTTTGTAAAATTGTTTTGAAATTATTTTAAGATTAAAACTTAATTTTACACTTTAGTAAGGATTTAAAATGAACTTTGAAATACTTTGAGTAATATTTTGATATTCGATTTAATATATCGAATATGCTTAGAAAAATCATTTTCAAAATTAAAATTCTTTTAATTTAATTTGTTATATCGAAACATCAAAATGTTTTCAACAGCTCCCTCATCCAATCAATAACTAAAATACTTTCAAAATGTGACATTTGTAATAAAGGATGCTAAAATTCATTTATATAGTTGACTGAAGAATGTAACCATGTACAATCTAAAGCTTCATGACAGGAAAAGAGACGTACGACAAACATTTCTCAAGATTAAAAATTGTACACGGGATTTTTTTTAAAGCAATCCATAAAGTGATAACCGATTAGCTTAAAATACATAGTTTGAATTTGAATTATCAACAACTTTGATATCAATTACTACAAAGCAAATAAATCCCTAGTGCAAAAAAAGTAGAAGCTTTAGCAACATAACTCAATTCCATACCTTTGAGAGTGCTTCCTAAAACCTCAAAAATCGATACGCAACAATCCCTTCAAGCACCCCAACAATCTCCCTAGGCCAAAACGTCGAAAAAGAAATGCCTTCCAAGCAAAACCCTAGAAGTAGCAGTCACTACGGCCCAAACCCATACGCCTGACATAACAAACCTGGGTTCAAATTTAATCCACCGTTGAATAAAATCCAAAACGAGATCCTCGTTGTGTTGAACAATAAGATATAATAGAGTAGCTAAAAATAAAACCCGGGAAGCGTGGCCACTTGGGAAAGAGAAGTTGTCGGCGTGAGCAGCGGGGGACATGTTTGGGTTGTAATGAGGACGGGCACGGCGGAAGGTCAGTTTGATGAGGCCGATCAAAGCAAGATCCAAGAGGAGGCCCAGGAGGAGAGGGATAGCTAAAGAGGAAAATGAAGGGGAAACTAGAAAAAAAGAGAGGGAAACCGGGAAGGAAAAGCAGAAATCGGCAGAGTATTCGAGGAGGAAGAGGAAAGTTGGGAGGATAGGTTTGAAGAGTGTGTGGAGGAAGAGTGAAATGGAGGCGTCTATGGTTATTAAGGGCTTAAGTAAATGTGGGGGTGACGGCGTTGTTGTTTTCGTCGAGCCCATTGGCAGCGGTCAGAGTGGTAATGGTGGCGGCAGAGGTGAATATGGGGTCAACTCAGAACAGAGTTTACGGTTAAAACGGGAAGGTTTCATATGATCGATTACTCGCAAGGGTGTGAGGCTGAGTAGGCAAACGCTGCCGTTTTGGAATATGGGCTTGATTGTTTTGGGCTTGTTGGGCTTAGAAAAGGAAAAATCTATTCAATGAAGAAGAAGAATATAGAATCTGGGAGTTTGTTTTTCCCCTAAATTATAAATCTGAGAATTTTTTAGAGAAAGATATGATGCAAGTGTCTTAAAATGGCGTTTCGATATGAAAGCCGTAACCAAGCACTGCCATTTTTGTTTTTTGAATATGGGATTTTTCCTGGTTACAAGTTCCTATGAAATTGCAAATCTCCTCTGAAGGAAATCTGCAAAATATGACCAAGAAAATTTCAAACAAAGGGTATACGCAACAATCATTTCTTTAACATTGAAGTAGTTTGATTCCTGAAAAAAAAATATAATTTTAAATATTAAATAGTATAATAAACCCAAATATGTAATGTTTAAAAAATATTAATATCATATTTATCAAAAATGATAATTTTAAATATTAAATAGTATATTAAACCGTCCTTATAAACATCGAATTCCTTGATTTGATCCGAAACCCTTGAAGCTAAGATTTTGCTTCTCATTTCTTTTCCAATGGATATTTTAGACCACCAACTAAACTCAGGTACTCCGTCCATGCTCTATGTTCTTCATTCAATGTCTGTATATGGGACGAAGTCCTTGGCAAATAAGTGGTTCACTCGAAAACATAATTCCCCATATGTGCAAATCCAGACCGGTGCCAGTAGTATGTATGCATGATAGTTCCTGAGACTTGGTCAACATCTAAGGCAAAAGTTGCGAGTCAAATCCACCCTTTACAGCAAAAGTTTGAAATCTGTTTTATATTAACTTGGTAGATATAAAGGTTCCAGAAAGAAGCATGATTTGTTTTCTTGATTATGTCTGATTAAGGTTCGACATTGTAATGTTAACTGCTGGAAAACTTGAAATGCTTAAATAGTTACACACTTTATTGAAGCCCAACACTAGTATAAATGGTTAAGAACAGCAACTAAGATGAGTATTATGTCATCGAGTTTTAATCGAATCAAGTTCTAACACTAGTATAAATGTTTTGTTTTCACTTTAATCTATGTTGTTTTTGAATCAAAATGGTATGAAATTGTGCCCCAAAACAGTTGCTATAATAATCTCCCAGATCCAAGTACATGCTTGTTATTTTCATGTGTCAAATGGAGCCTAAAACAATAGGCAATTGTATAGTAAACTAGGTAAGCATACATGTTGGTGGCGTGTCAACGATGTAAGGCCATGATAGTTAAGAAGGTGCGAGAGTAAGAAATAAGAAAAGAAAGAAGCGTTTATTGGGTAAAGGTTGCGCATTTATGACACTTGAATTCTCTGTCCCATCACTCCACTGCTCAAAGTTGGTCAAATGGTGTCTTTCCATCACCCCAACCTAATTTCTGGTTCCCGGTCTCATTTCAATAACCAACACGTGTATTATCACATCATTAATAATTAATCGCCTCATATTTCGTCTACTTGTCCCACCCTATATTCCTGGAGTTTATAAAAAAATCGCGCTAATATTATAACATTACTTTAGGGTCGTGATTAGATTGTTAGAATTTTTGTGTAAATTCTTATAAAGAAGTCTTTAAATTTTGAACTTACATTATTTTTACAGTTATATTTTTTATCAAAAAGAGAAAAAAAAATTTATAGTTGTATTATACTGAGTAGGTCCACTTACATTGTTTTCTTAAAAATAATTTTGTTTGTTAATAAGATTTGAATTTATGATTAATAAAGTCACGGACTTAATGATTTAACCACTACTCTATATATATTTTTCTTCTTCTTAATGGCAACAACTAATAGAAATACTCTATTTTGAGATCTCTGTTATGCTAACCTCGTTATGCTCTTCGACTCATAATATTAATATGTATAAAAAATATGTTTTTAATAAATCTGATTTGACCCAAAAAACCCTGAAAAATACTCCCTTTGAAACGTTATTCACTTTATTAACCCTCTAAAGTTATTCACTTTATTCGTATTCAACCTAATTACTCCTCAATCCCATATGCATTCAAATTTTTTACCCCGTCAATATTTTATCATGAATTCATAAACCGATAAACTAGATGCAAATCTCAATGCTGTTGTCCCCTCCCTCCCATTACCCCCAAGTTGCAGCATTAAAAAATGTGGTAAAAGGAGAAAAAAAAGGTTGTCGTTTTGTAAGTTTAAATTTCAGTGCTTTTCCAAGATGCTTTTTATATTATCCCCGCCAGTTTCCATTCTCTTTCTGTTCTTTCCTCGTTTGCTTTTTTATTCATTCCTTCTGTTTGTTTCCTCTCTTCAAAGTTCAGACTCCTATAGAAGATTCCTACCCTACATTTTATGGTTTTCGAAGGAAAATAATTCTGGGCTTTGTATGTTATTTAATACTGGCATGCATGTGATTGGATGGAGGAAAACCCAGTAGGTTAGAGGTCATGTAACAGTGGGATGTGTATCACAGTAGAAGTGAAAGCCAAGGTCTCTACTGGTCTTTCTGTTTTGTTGAAACATCAAGCTCACCAATAATCACTGTATGAAAATGAAGTATAATAAATTAAAATTAATGTTTCTTTGATTTGAAGGAGCATTTCTCTCTGAAAAAACAGAAATGCTTTCTATAAAGAAAAAGGGTTTAATATTTAATCCTTTTGGCTGATAAACTTTAACATTTAAAGAGAAAACTTTCAATCTGTTCATTGTTCATTGGCAGGGCATATTGTTCATTTATGATGTATATAAACAATAAAGACACTGTTAGTTAGATTGCTTTAAAAAGTAGTAGTGGTTCCCCATTGGTAATGCTAGCTACCTGCACTCAATATCTTTAGCCCCCATATCAACCCTTTTTTTATTATTTCGCTAATTATTCCGTTCCTTCTTCTCCCAAAAGTAATCTATCGTGTCACAAATTAAAAAAATGTAACAGAGAAAATATTTAATAAATTATTTTTAAGGAAAAAAAATTTAGATATTAAAAATTAATTTTGAGTATAGTTTAAGAACTAACTTTATATATATATTTTTAATAAACTAAAGTAATTATAAATTAGTATATGTTTTAAATACTCTCAATTATTCAATAATAAACACTCAATCGTCTTGCTATAGCAGTTGGTGCTCGAATCATAATCTCTGAAATAACAATAATTTCTTTTACCACTGAGGTAAATTAGTTCGTGACTTAACTTTATATTAAACCTAAATAAAATGGCACGTTTTTATTAAATAGATTTAAAATGTAAAAGGATTTTTTTTAAGAATATATGTTTGATTATTTTAATGTTTTTTATATCGCAAAACAAATCTTAAATTAATAATAGAGGAAAAATTAAATTTTAACTAATTTTAAAAGCATTCTAAAATCATAAAACAAAAAATGGCATGGGATGAAAAATACCAAATAAAATATTTCACTGAATTATTAATAAGATTATAAATATATCATTATATTTTAAAAACATACAAACAAATGGTCACTTAATTAATGGATTACCGTAAATGACATTGGACCATTAAAAATGAAACCTACTTTAGAAGGTGTGGTTAGGAAATACATTTTGATGATTTTCTTATTGGGTAAATTACAACACAAATCATTTAATTACCTAAGTGGTTATAAAATGATAATTGAATTATTACCAAAATACAAATATGTCATTCAAGTTCAAAAAGTTATAAACGAGTCACTCAATTAATAAAAAAAAAAATCCATCCCGAGTTTTGGCCCTTTTGAAGATCAATGGCCCATTCTATGACTTGAACAATGGAAAAGCTATCGTTAATTAGATTAATAATATATCTCAAGATAAAGGTCATCTCGCAATAGATGGCGTAGATCAAGGTTTAAAAATATTAAAAATTTTGAGGTGATTTTATGACTTTTGATAAAGACTTTTAAAAGTCCAGGGTTAACTATACGGATGATCACGTATATTTATATTTTGTTAACTTTTGATCACTGATTAAAAAACATAAGATATGATTGTTTTCATTTTTATTTGATTAAGATGTGATTACTTTGAGTTAATTGCCACTAACATCAGTTAAATATTTTGATATAATTACACATTTGGTCCTTATTATTTACATATCCTCTCAATTTAGTCCTACTTTTAATAAATTAAAATAAATTTAACCCTCTAATCGAATGATGCAACCTGTCATGCCACGTGTCATCATTTGGTTGGAGAAATAACTTTATTTTAATTTAATATAAATATATATGTATTTCCACCAATCGAAGAGTGACACATGTCACCCACTTGTTGAAAGAAAACAAAGAAAAATAAATTGGGACAAAAATATTCAAACCTTGGTCACTTAGGGAACTAAACATGTATCCAACCATAAGCCAAGACCATTGTTTGGTCTAAAGTAGACAACATGGTGTGTATATTTTGTATCTTAATGTATAAATACTTAAATTCATAATATTATATATATTAACTTATAAAGATTTTTTATATTAACTTATTAAATTTATTTTATTAGTAACTTAATTTAAAAATATTTTATTTTCATTTAAAATATATATTTATGTTAAAATTTATTTAAAAGTATGAAAAAAATTGAGAGAATATGTAAATAACACATGTCAAATGTGTGATTGTACCAACTATCACATCACATATTCTGTTAATTGTTAACAACAGTTATGACCACATCTTAATTAAATAAAAATGAAAGTGATCATATCTTAGTTTTTGAAACCAGTTATCAAAAATGGACAAAACACAAACATAAGTAATCATTTCCATTCCTTCTGACCAGATTGAGGACTTGGATGGGAGAACTGGTTGATGGGTAAGCTTACGTTTGAAACTCATACTGATGGGGAAGCTTTGGTACATGTATGTAGAGTTATTTGGAAAAGTGATAAGGTTGAAGAAATAGTCCAACCCAAACCAAAATTTTTCCATATTAAGCTTCGCTCTTCTACTACTTAGGAGGACACTCTTCGTAGGGGTCCATGATCTTTTAATAATGTCACGCCCTTGGAACTTCGACACCTCGGAGCGTGTGACCTTAGTCGTCTTCTTAGTGATTGCGGCTAAGTAAGCCTGAAAATATCCCAAGCAAGGATGCTTAGAACCTCGACGGAAGCTAGACAAGAGAACTTGCACAAAAATGAAGATAAGAAAGCTTTGAGAGAAGAATGCTCTTATGATTTCTCAAAGTGAAGGAGTGAGTACAAATGAGGAGGGGAGGCCTCTATTTATAGCTAAAGCTCTCCTCAATGAACGGCTAAGATCTAATTACATCGACGGTCCAGATTGATTCCTACCTACCAAAAACAAGTGGGCATTATCTATACAAATTTAAATGCCACTAAAGTCTTTGTGGCTTCTAGAAGGTCCAAACCACTATTTGGGCTGCTCTTCATGGGCTAACCTCGGTTGTAGGCTCTTGGTGTGTGACATTCTCCCCCACTCGTTCCGGTGATGCCCTCGTCACTCGTCTGGAATGAAATTGGTCTATTCGGCTTTTGAATTGCCAAAGTCCCTCGGCATGTTCCTAACTCCCTTCGCACTCTGGTTGTCCATTCCATAGGATAAAGTACTCATTCCTCGGGCGGTGTCTTGGCCGTCGAATAACTCTCTCCGCTTGTATGTCTTGGATCTCCTTTTCATATGAGACCGCTACTCCGACTGGCGCTCGGTGAGACTTGCCTCGATCCGGATCCTCTGTATCCTCATGGTACGGCTTGAGTAGGCTAACATGGATAACGGGATACGCTCAGATATTTGGAGGCAACTCCAATTTGTAGGCCATAGTGCCTACCCGCTTCAAAACTCGGAAAGGACCCTCGTATCTTCGCACAAGCGCCTTGTGCACATCCGCATGGCGCAAAACATTGGGCAACTTTGCAAGAACAAGGTCACCAACTTCAAAGTTCATGTCCCTCCACTTTCGGTCAACCCACTTCTTGGTCCGCTTTCCCGCCTTGTGCAAACAAGCTCGGGCTAAGTCATGTTGCTCGTGCCACTCCTTGGCAACTTTGTGTACTGATGGATTGGGCCCTTCATACTTGGAAACAACCGTGTTGGGTGTCAACGGTTGTTGCCCGGTCAAGATCTCGAATGGACTTTGGTTTTTCGCCTCGCTCCGTTATAAGTTGTAGGAAAATTGGGCCACATCTAACAGCTTGGGCCAGTCTCGTTGGTTGGCACTCATGTAATGCCTCAGATAGATCTCTAATAGAGCATTCACTCGTTCAGTTTACCCATCGATTTGTGGATGAATTGCGGTGGAAAAGTTCAAGCTTGATCCCATCAGTTTGAACAACTCCGTCCAGAACCTCCCTGTGAACCACGTGTCCCGATCACTGATTATGGTTTTCGGCATTCCCCAATACTTTACCACATGCTTGAGGAAAAGTCGAGCTGCCTCCACGGTTGGACAGACTTTAGATGCCTGTATGAACGTCGCATACTTTGAAAACCTGTCAACCACAACCATTATACTTGAAAGTCCATCAGTTTTGGGAAAACCTATGATAAAATCCATGGAAATACTCTCCCATGGGCGCTCAGGATTAGGCAACGGTTATAGCAGTCCCGTCGGTTTCTTTGCCTCGATTTTGTCTTACTGGCACACAAGACAAGTCTTCACATAGGCCTGCACATATTCAGCCATATGCGGCCAATAGTATTGATCTGAGAGTAATGCCAAAGTGCGATCAACTCCCGGATATCCCGCCCACTTGGAATCATGGCATTCCTTCATGAGCTCCTTGCGTAACTTCCATATCGAGGTACAAAGATTCGATTTCCTTGATAATACAGTAGTTTCCCCTCGAGCTAAAACTCTCTGGTTCGCCCCTCCTTAGTTTCCTCAATAATTCGCTCGGCCGCAGGATCATGGGGCAATCCTTCTTTGATCCTTTCGAGCAGGGTACCTTCCACAGTCTCGATGGCGTACCTCCGGCTTAAGCCATCTGCAACGTAGTTCACCTTCTCTGGCTTGTACTCCATGAAAAAGTCAAACTCGGCAAGAAACTCTTGCCAACGAGCCTATTTTGGAGAAAGCTTCTTCTGGGTGAGGAAGTAACTGTTGGCAACATTATCCGTGAACACCACGAACTTGGACCCGAGCAAGTAATATCGCCATGTGCGTAAACAGTGCACAACCGCGGTCATCTTCTTTTCATGAAATAAGAACCTCCTCTTGGTCTCATTGAGTTTCTGGCTCTCGTATGTAATCGGATATCCCTATTGCATGAGGACTCCTCCAATGGCAACATCAGACGTATCGGTGAAAACTACAAAAGGTTGGGTGTAGTCTAGCAGTACCAACACGGGCTCACTCACCATGGCCTCCTTGGTCTTTTCGAATGCGTCCTGGCATTTCGTGCTCCATTCCCACACCTTATTCTTCTTGAGCAACTCGGTCAAAGGTGTGGCAATCTTGGAATAGCCCTTCACAAATCGTTGGTAATAGTTGGCTAATCCCAAGAATGCTTGTAGTTCAGTCACCTTGGTGGGTGGCTTCCACTCGTCAATTGCCCGAATTTTGTCCTTTTCCATCTGGAGCTTGCCTCCTCTAACGACATGGCCTAGGAACGACACTTCCTTCTGAGCGAACGAGCACTTTTCCTCTTTAACATAGAGTTCGTTCTCTCGTAAGACTTGGAACACCCTTCTCAAGTGCTCGACGTGTTCCTCTAAGGTCTTACTGTACACCACAATATCGTCAAGGTAAACTACAACGAAATGATCTAGAAAGGGTTGTAGTACCTTGTTCATCAATGTGCAGATGGTGGCCGGAGCATTCGTGAGGCCAAAGGGCATCACAAGGTGTTTGTAAGAACCATACCTGGTCACACAAGCTGTCTTCGGTTCATCTCCTTCGGCTATCTTGACTTGGTAATAGCCCGATCGTAAATCTAGCTTGGTGAACCACCTTGCACCACCAAGTTGATCGAACAAGTCCGCAATGAGGGGAATGGGATACTTGTTCTTTACTGTGAGCTTATTTAAAGCTTGGTAATCTGTGCACATCCGTAGAGAACCATCGTGCTTCTTTTGAAATAGCACTGGTGCACCATAGGGGGACTTGGATGGTCGGATGTATCCGACATCGAGGAGATCCTTCAATTGTCTGCGCATCTCCTCTAACTTGGGCGGAGCCATCCGGTAAGGGGCCTGAGCGGGTGGCTTCGTATTCTCCACAAGCTCAATCTTGTGATCCACCTCCCTCTTTGGAGGTAACTTCTTGGGTAATTCGACAGGCATCACATCTTTGAATTCTGCCAAGACATGACTTACCACGTCGGGAACTTCCTTGGTAGTGGTTGGTTCGTCATACATCAAGGCAGCTAAGAAGATCGGTTCCTCCTTGTGCACCACCTTCGAGAATTGAATTACGGATAAAATTTTGGCCCCTACTCCGGGCCCTTGGCTTACTGGAATAATGCATTGTTGCTTTGGATCCAGGATGCACAAGCAATCAGCAAAAGGCACTGGGAAAGCATTTATTCGGTCCAAGAAGCTTAACCCAAGAACAAAGTCGAAGTCATCGAGAGGGATTACCTTGACGGATTCCTTTTCGGACCAGTCTCCAACGGTTAGCTCGATTCCTTTTGTGACCCTCGCAATCGAAACTTCTTCGGCATTCACGTTTTTTATGGAACCACTTGCCTTCTCCACATGAAGGCCAAGTCTCTTGGCAATTTGTTCGGACATGAACAACTCTGAGGCACCGGTGTCCACTAGTGCACTCATCTTTTGGCCTGCCACGATTATGTCTACATACATCAGTCCCTTCTTATTGTGCCCCTTTTTGACCTCCATGGTGCTAAGGATGGAGCCAAGCTTGAGAGTCTCACTCTCCACCCCATCATTTTTCTTGATGGCAATAACTTTCACAAGTTGAGGACAATCTCGTTTCATGTGATTTCCTTCACAAGTAAAGCACGCTAATTCCCCCTTCTTCTCCCAATGATTGAAGAGCTTTTTGGGTCGATCATTCAGCTTCCCATGATTTCCCGTTAGCTTGTGAAAGTTTCCTTTGGCCTTCTCTCCCCCACTATTACCTTTGGGTTTCGACCTGGATTGGAGAGAGTCAGTCTTCTTTACTTCAAACGGGGCAATAGCCTCGGCTGCATCTAACGCCTTGGAGAGTTCGATCACTCCTCTCCTTTTGATCTCCATGTTGGCCCAACGTTGTAGTCCATCCATGAATGCAAAGTACCCTTCTGACTCGCCCAAGTCCGGGATTTGCATCTTGATCTCCGTGAAGTTTTTGACATACTGCAAGATGGAACGATCATGCTTTAATTGCTTCAATTTTGCTCGAGCCTCGAGCATAGCATTCTTCGGATAGAAATTCTCCTTGAGTTCTCCCACAAACTCCTCCCACGTTCCGATTGGTTTCGCGCTCTCGGAATACCTACGACGCCACCATAACATAGCAACATCGGTAAGATAATTAGAAGCAACATTTACCTTGGTGGTATCATCCTTGATACTCATGCCACGGAAGAATTGCTCTATGCCCCAGATGAAATTCTCCACATCTTGGGCAGTTCGACTCCCCTTGAACTTCTTCGGCTTAGGGAAGTCGATCCAGGGTCTTGGTGCTTGCGCCTCCCCAGTCACTTCATTCAATACGGAAGCTTTGTAGACGAGCAACTCGCTCTTGAGCTCCTTTACCTCTTGCATTATTTCGACCCTCATGGCCAAGTACATGCTCTCGAGGCCTCTGGTACGCTCGTCTACGTTCTCCGTCAACTCGCTGATGAGTGCTTGGGTTTCTTCGCGGAGTACATCCTCCACGGAGTCCACTTTCTCCTAGCGAGATTCAACCGAGTCTTGAGTCTCTTGGACTTCATTATATCGATCTTCTACCCTGCCAACCCTTTGCTCGAATGAGGCCACCATATCCTTCGAGTTTGCTCATTTCTTCGGTATGGCAACACGAGTCACTTCGCTTGTTGGGGCCTCGTCTGGGTTTTGTTATGTCATTTCTTACAAAACTAGCTCTGATACCACTTGTCACGCCCTTGGAACTTCGACACCTCGGAGCGTGTGACCTTAGTCATCTTCTTAGTGATTACGGCTAAGTAAGCCTGAAAATATCCCAAGCAAGGATGCTTAGAATCTCGACGGAAGCTAGACAAGAGAACTTGCACAAAAAGGAAGATAAGAAAGCTTTGAGAGAAGAATGCTCTTATGATTTCTCAAAGTGAATGAGTGAGTACAAATGAGGAGGGGAGACCTCTATTTATAGTTAAAGCTCCCCTCAATGAATGGCTAAGATCTAATTACATCAACGATCCAGATTGATTCCTACCTACCAAAAACAAGTGGGCATTATCTATACAAATTTAAATGCCACTAAAGTCTTTGTGGCTTCTAGAATATCCAAACCACCATTTAGGCTACTCTTCATGGGCTAACCTCGGTTGTGGGCTCTTGGTGTATGATAATAACATTTGGTTCTATCTCTTTTCTTTTAATACGTTATGTTGCTCAAAGGACTATGACTTTTTGAAATTGGAAATATGAGTGAGGGTATACTTGGTTCCTTTGGGTCTTATGACCAAAGCTATGACTTTATCTCTTAGAAGAAGCATGAGGAAGATGATAGTTGCGGATACACGAGTCTTATGAGGTAATATGGGTGAATTTTTATGCATTCATATACAGGTTGACTCTATGATGTCATTGCGTTGATGTATTACCCTTGGAGTTCTCGGAAGTACCAAGCCTAAGATGTGTCATTGCGTTGAATTTTAGTTCTGGGTTGTTGGGTCATCAAGTGTTATCCTGCAGAACCGTGAAGGTTGAGTCATTAACAAAGCTTCTATTTAAGGAGGGGGTCCATGTGCCTTTTCAGAGAGCTGATGGAGTTGGTTTTAAACATAGAATGAAAATTGACAACCAGTAAAGGATCATGTTCTTATTCATCACTCTACTATAGGATCGGGTATTGAGCATGGCAAACAAGTGGTAGCTATTGATGGTCTAAAGAATGTAATTGCTTGTGAGGGAGAAATTATATTGAAGGTGATATAGTTGTTAAAGAAAAGAATTTTATTAGTCCTTTAAATTCTGAAGAGGTCGGGCTGTCTGTGGTGAATACTTGTACTAAGGTTATTGATGAAACTCTATTGATAGGTAATATCTCTGATAAAATAATTATGTTGGAGGATATTGATGGCCTTACTCCTATTTGATTTGGTTTCCATTAATTCTAGAAAAGAATGTCAACAAGCTGTGACTAGTCGTGTTATCAAACATGGACTTTAGGGAAAGTACAACTTTACTAATACGATATTACCTAAAAGGACAAAGCTTACACAAAACCAAGACAATAAAACTGGGATGAACAACGTTAGAAACTTTGCGGTGGTGGTTAAGGGCTAACCTCATCGGGACTAATGTTAGTCCTTTGTTGGAACTATTGTGGTTTGAACAACACTGCAACAATTCGTGTCGTGGGTCGATATATTAGTCGTAAGCATGTGAATGTTGTTTTTCCTTAGTGAAACCCAAATAAAACAGAACAAGAGTAATTATATCCAATGTAAGCTTGGTATGAATAATTGCTTTTTAGTTAACAAAAGTAATGAGTGTATAGGGCTAATGCTATTGTGGAATAATGTCATTAATATTATGGTTTTTTTGTATTTCAAATTTCATATTGACACAATTATTGATTATAGTGATGAGAAATTCCATTTTTCAGGTATTTAAGCAAGTATATATGCTAATTTGGAGCATGCAGTTTGGTCAACTATTTCTAACTTGTGTGTTGCTTGTTCTCTTCATTGGTTGTAAGGGGTGATTTTAACGATATTCTTAACAACTCAGAAAAGCAATGTGGTCAGAGAAAGTCAAAGGTCCAAATGGAAGAATTTTGTCTTATTCTTGAGTAGAATGGTTTATTCGATTGTAAACCATCTAAAGGATGGTTCATATGGTATGATGGACAGATGATTACTCATTCAATTCGAGAGTGACTTGATGGCTTCATTGTTGGGACTGTTGACGCACCCCATGGCGCAGCGGAAACAAAACTCGACGGTCTCACTAGTGATCCAAGTACGTAAAACCGAAATCGGGAGGAAGGGATGTGAATACTTATAGCGGTTCCTTGAAAAACAACAAGAACAACAGTGAATATTGGTGGTGTAGATCGGTTCGAATCGTAAGCCTCCACGAAATCACGTCTCGGCCTCTACTCAGTTCACCCGATTGGGAGCAATATTTGTTTTCTCCAAAACTATTTTGAGAGAAAAACGGCTGAAGGTTTATGTGTGTGTGTTAAAAACTGCTACTAAACCTAACACACCCTTTTATATCCATTACCCTAACATCTTAGGGTTTTCAAAATTATTTCAAATTAACAATAAAATATTATTTAATTAATTCAATTAAATATACATTAAAGACTTATAATTTGAATTATAATATTTCATGTTTATTTAAAAACTTATTTAATTATTTCAAATTATATAGACCAATTAAAAGAGTTGTAATCTAAATTAGATTCTTTTAATGCTTACTTACTATATTCAGGATAATTAAAATCATATGTATATCAAATATACATATCATAACTCTAGATATATTTTAGTAACATACAACAAATTGTACATTTTTGCTCATTTCAATCCTAGTGTGTGACCCTTTAGGTTCTTGTAATGTTAGTAGTAATTATTAGAACAATTCTAATATTACATACAATGAGTGAAATCTAGCAATATATCATTGTCACCTAAGTTACAAGAAATTATGATTCGACATATCATCTTCGTAATTAACTCTTTTATGTATTACATCCTTTTGTCCTTTATATCTGGAATAAGCACAAGTCTTAGAATAGTCACACTTGTATAGCCCATCTATTACTTCTTGATATCTAGAGTAGACTATAATTAACGAATATGATATCACATATCAACTTATTCGAGCATGGTCATGCATTTCTAGTCTCACTCAATAAAGTGGCCTGTGATATATTCCATATTATGTAGGAAGGACAAATCCTATCTTAACCATATACACCCCACTACATATATCGAAATATATTCAATAACAATCTTTATAGTGCAACCAGTTACGGAGCATGTTTAACTATATCAAAACATACAACAATATATGTTAGGATGACATTGATCTCAAGTTTGAAGATCATACATATAGTCATCACCATGAGCAATGTTATGACTGTTACATAATAATCCAAGACATATGCTAATGATGGGTCAATCCAATACATTGTTCTCTAACAATATAATTATGTATCAATTCTGACATCTCTATGTCAATGACAACTCCTTGTCATCAATCAATACCATGTTAGTCTTAAGCATATTATTATTGTCCATGCCCATAATAATACTTGACTATGGATCTTTTAATAATGTTATTATATGGACTTTATTATCTTTCAGTTTATGTTAAACACAGACACATAACTGAAAATAATAGTGGCAATGCCTTTATTCAATAAAATCGATAAATAAATATATTATTACAATCATCATATGATTGGTCTTTGGGCATACTCTAACATTCATTGCTAACCATACTTGGCTTAGTTCTTTTTTAAACAATAAGGTTTTTTCTGAGTTTACTGAAGCTTCAGATCATTATTATTTGTTAATGGACACTTCTTGGGTAAGGAATTATAATAGGATATCTGGGAGTGATTATTTTTTATTTGAATATTATTGGGCAGAAGAAAAAGTTTGTAAGGCCAAGATGTGTGATGCGTGGACTATTTATTCTCCTAATGCAATTACAAAAATTCATGCCATTGGTAAAGCTCTTAATAATTGGTAGCGTATTCGTTTGTTTCTATCTAGGACCAGAATTAAAGAGTTGAAAAATAGTATTAATAATTCCTTAAATCATCATCTTTCAGATAGTGTGGGTCAAAAATTCACCAAAGAGAAGTTTGAACTTAAGCAGCTACTTCACAAGGTGGAAATTTTCTAGTTACAGCGGTCTAGAGTGACTTGGCTTTGGCTTTCCTCATATATGATGATTCTATTGTTGATGATTCTATTGTTGATGCTATAAAGCATGTTATTGCTCATGATATGAATCATATGTTTTGTTTCGACTTTACCATTGATGAGATTATTTCAACATTTCATGATATTCATCCTAAGAAAGCTCTGGGGATTGATGGTCTTCCAATAAGTTTCTACATGTTACATTGAGATATTGTTGGGAATGATGTAGTGGATCTTTATTTAAAGTTGTCAAAGTGAGTTTCAGTTATGAGTTTGGTTAATAAGATTGTGATTGTTCTTATTCTAAAAGTGTTTGACCCTCAATAAATGAAGTATTTGTGACCTATTAGTCTTTGTAATGTGGTGTATAATATTTTTTAAAGGTGTTGGTTCATCGTTTTAAAGGTCTCATGTATGTTTGAATCAGTGAGAACCAAGCTACTTTTATCCATGGATGAAAAATTTCTGACAATATTTTGGTGGCTCATGAGTTACTTCATTATTTGAATTCTTCTAAAAATGGTCCCAATAAAGATGTTGCGCTTAAGTTGGAAATGGAAAAGGCTTATGATAGGATTGAATGGTCTTTCTTGAGGTAGGTTGTGTTGAAGTTGGGTTTCTGTTCTGACTGGGTTAGACTAATTATGTGATGTGTGGAGTATATTTCTTTTTGTTTCATGTGAACGGTGATCTGATACATAAGTTTCAACCAAGTAGGGGGTTAAGATAAGGAACCCTTTATCACATTTCTTATTTCTCTTTTGTACTTAGGGTTTGTCTACTATGTTTCATCAGTTACAAAATCAAAGGAATATTCATGTATTAGTGTGAGTCAGAATGGGCCAAAGGTTACCAATATGTTATTTGCAAATTACATCATTATCTTCTTTAAAAAATTTCATTTATGAATCT